GTAAACCTAACCTAGCCCCAGGGTAACGTTTGGGTGTTTAATCTTCAGGTGATGGTTGACTGGATGGCTGACTGGCTGATTGAATGACTGACTGGTTGACTGAATGACTGGCTGGATGGGTGGCTGGTTAGCTGTATCGCTGGTAGATTGATTAAAGAGTGGCTGGATTGCTGTATGTCTGGGTGGCCGGGTGGTAAGCTCAGTGACTGGCCGGGTGTTAAGCTTAGTGACTGGCCGGGTGTTAAGCTCAGTGGCCGGGTAGCTAGGAGGGTGGCTGGTTAATGCACTGGCTGGATGAAGCTTGGTGACTGGGTGCGTAGCTAGGTTGTTGGGTGGCTAGGTGGCTAGGTAGGTAGATGGGTGGTTGGCTGACTCGGTGACTAAGTGGCTAGGTAGGTCGATGGCTAGGCAGCTAGGAATGTGGGAGACTGGATAGTTCGTGGCTGGGTGGCTGCTCAGGTTAGGTTAAGTGGATGCTCAGCTAGTGGAGTGTATGGCTGGGTGGTCAGGAAGGTGGGTGGCTGGGTGGTTAGGAAGGTGGGTGGCTGGGTGGTGGAGCGGGGCAACAGCAACAAGAGAACGTCCACTTTAGGACGGTGGCCGCTGCCTCTGACTTATGCATGACCGCACCCTCCATCTGCCTGCGGCCCCTGCGTGCATCCTCCTCTCAACACGTGGTCCACATCAGGTCGCCTGCGGAAGCTCTTGAATGACTTTGGCTCACACCTTAATCATTAGAAGCCCGTTTGCGGTAGTTTCATCACAGGTTACAATGCATGCCGCAGTTAGAAGCTTGAAGTCCCGCAATATGTGGTCCATATCGTGTCAGGCAGCTTGCGGAAGCCCTTCAATTATTTGGGTTGCATTCAGAACCATTAAGGTCGAATGTGGAAGCCCCTGAATTACTTGGGTTATTCATTAATGATTAACACGCGGCAACCATTGAGATATTCATTCCCTACAAGATATCTAAAGTACGCCGCATGCGAAGCCCTCACAAGAACTTGGCCTGTTCCTTGAGATAATAATACAGTATATAATTACAATTGTCGCCGCATGCGGAAATTCATTCTATACATCAAAGCATCACTCCGTATACAGGATTGACAGTATGAGAGTATCGAAGACCTCCTCGCTCCCCACAAGAGATGCTCTTCCAGTGATATAAAACATCCTGTGTCGTCTAGATCATGTGACTGTGTCCAACTTCAGAGACGCTCACCAATACAAACTTACCAGACAAAGTCAACAAAAACACGTATCGTAAACACACTATACTGAGAACTCACGCAATTCTCGATTTTTTTCACCTTTCAAATATCTTCGAATCTTTCTCTTCTGGACTCAAATACCTGATAATAATCTTCGTCCTTACCCCCTGCTCCCCACCTCATATCTCAGACTCTACTATTGGTGCCCTCAATAATCAATACTAGAACCCTTAAGGACAATATTTTTTAACCTAGGACCCTTTTAGACAAGATTACCCCCCCCAACCCCTAAAGATGATCTTTTTGTACTCTGGAACCCTTAAAAACGACATTTCTATACCCCTAAATCCTTAAAGACACGAGAACCCCTAAAGACGACCTTTTGTACCCTTGAACCCTTAAAGACGACCTTTTTGTACCCTTGAACCCCTAAAGACGACCTTTTTACTTCCAATGAACCCTTAAAGACGACCTTTTAGTACCATTGAACCCTTAAAGACGACCTTTTTGTACCCCTGAACCCTTCCCTTAAGGACGACCTTTTGTACCCTTGAACCCTTCCCTTAAAGACGCCACTTTAGTATCCTTGAACCCTTAAAGACGCCATTTTTGTACTCTAAGACCCTTAATAGAGGAAAACCAAAACGAAGGACCTAAAATCTCTCGGACCTTCTTAACACCTTCTGACTAAACATTCCAGGAGGACTCAGGACCCAAGGCCCCTTTTAGACCATACCGGGTCGTCTTGTACCTCCTCCTCCTCCTCCTCCTTTTCTTCCTCCTCCTCCTTCTTGTCTGTCGTGTGATTTTTGTACCTCTTTCCCTTCTGCCCCTCACCCCCCTCTCCCTCTCTCTCTCCTTCCTTCGTTCCTTCCTTCAATTCTCCATCTAAATCCCTCCTCCTCTTCTTCTCTTTCCACCTTCCTCTCTCCTCCTCTCCTCTTCCCCTCCACCTCCATCGTCCTTCCCCTACCTCTCCTCCTCATCCTATACCCCCACCCCATCATCTCAATCCCCCCCGTGGACCAGTGAGCATCAGCCGGGTTGCCCCAGGAGAGTGTTAGCAGCTGGTGACCTTTTAAAAGCTTAGTCTTGCTTCCTCTGCCTGACCTTTAACCCAAATCAATCCCTAATCCCCCCCTCCCCTATCCCCCCACCACCTCCTCCACCCCAGCCCATGGAACACTGCTGCGGCTACTACTGTGGTTGATGTGTCTTCGTGTTGTGGCTGTTGTGTTACTCTGTTGTCTCTTCTGTTGCTGCACACACACACACACACACCTGTAGTCTTTCGTTTTGTGTGTGTGTGTGTGTGTGTGGTTACAATGGCGTCAATAAAGTATATCAATGAGTGTGAGGGTGGCTACAGGAGGAGAGGAGGAGGAGGAGGAGGAGGAGGAGGGTGTAAAAGCCCATCAGTGCCACAGAAGCCTTTGGGATGCAGCCGAGTGGTATCAGCTGTATGACACCCCCACACACCCTCTCTCCCCCACACACCCTCCCCTCCACACACCCCCTCTCTCCCTCACACACCCCTCACCCCTCACACCCTCACCCCCTCTCCCTCACACACCCTCTCTCCCCCTCACACACCCTTCTCCCCCCCACATCCCTCTCTCCCTCCTCACACCCCCCTCCCCTCACACCCCTCCCCTCACCCCCTCCTCCCCCTCCCCACACACCCACCCCTCCTCTCCCTCCACCCTCTCCCCCACACACCCCTCTCCCCTCCCTTCTCCCCCACACATCCCTCTCTCCCCTCACACCCCTCTCCCCTCACACACCCCTCTCCCCCCACACACCCTCTCCCCTCACACACCCCCCCTCACCCTTCTCCCCCCCCCTCTCTCCCCCCCTCACACCCCTCCCCCCCACACACCCTCTCCACACCCCCTTCTCCCCCATCCCCTCACACACCCCCCACCCCTCTCTCCCTCTTCCACTCTACCCTCAACCCCTTTTCCTTCCTCCCCTCTCCCACACATGAAATACAGACTCCCCTTCCTCTCGCATCCCTCCCCTTTCTCACCCCTTCCCCTCCCCATCTATCCACCCCTCCCCTCTCCCCCCTGTCTTCCCCCTCCTTCCCTCCTCCTCTCAACCCCTTCCCTTCCTCTCCCCTCACCCTTCCTTTCCCCTCACCCCTCTCTATCTCCCTCTCTCTCTCTCTCTCTCTCTCTCCTTCTCTCTTCCTCTCCTCTCTTCCCCTCTCTCCCCCTCTCTCACCTTCCTCTCTCTCTCTCCCCCTTCCTCTCTTCTTCCTCTCTCTCTCTTCTCTTCTCTTCCTCTCTCTCTTCCTTCCTCTCTCTCTTCCTTCCTCTCTCTCTTCCTTCCTCTCTCTCACCCTTCTTCTCTCACCCTTTTAATCACAAGAACTTCTCCCCACGCCCCTCTAAGACACCCCAAACATCGTCTATCTATGCATAAATCACACGTTTCAATTATATCATTTTACACAACCTCAATCTTGATCACTTTACAACAGGTTATTTTATAAAGGAAAACACTTATATTATTCAATTCAATTCAACACACTTTCCAAACACAACAATATCAAGCAACACAAGATGTCTCCTAATAACACTACAACACACACACACACACACACACACACACACACACACACACATTATTTTGGGGGGAACAACGTGTGTATATTACTGTATGTTAATTTATTCGGCGAGGTGAGTGTATGAATTTAACAACAACGACGACAATAATAATAATAATAATAATAATAATAATAATAATAATAATAATAATAATAATAATCCTTAGAACACCTGATTAAACACCCTAACGCTACCTGACATTCAAACAACACGAAAACAAACATACCTAAACAAACACATAATACAACTGGTGACTTGTACAAACACCACAAACACACACATCCCCAGCACAGGTATGAACATGTCCAGACAGGTGAGTGATGGTACAGGTGGAGGGCACATAAATATTGACCATTACCTGAGAGCGTGTCTGGGAACTCCGGGTCTGTGGTGCATATAAACTCACTACGTGGCAATCCCCCTCCCACAAAAAAATAATAATAATGATAATAGGTATTTTATGTTAACTTAATATTAATTCCGTGGTTTAACAATAATAATAATAATAATAATAATAATAATAAACTACACAGTAATCATTATGTAAATAAACACGTATACAGTATGACGTGGGTTGCTCACTGTCCAAATTGAGCGATGATTGGGCCTCCTTCAGCAAGATGTGCAGTGATTGGTCCTTACCTTCCATGACGTCATCCTTCCCAAAACAGAGATCTTGTGACATTGATGCTAATTGGTCCATGGACTCACCGTGCTGACGTTGACTAATCTGTCAGCCAATGACAAAGGATCTCCCCGATTATGGAGACGTTGATTGGCTCATTAACACGGCGCGATGAAGCCGTAGACGCTCCAATGACCACTCACAACCGCTCGCTCTTATTATCCAGAAGCTGATTGGCCCATCTTACTCACCGTTTACTCCTACGGTCAATCATAATAAACCTCGTTTATCATCTCAACGCTGATTGGTCTGCTTGCTCAACAATTATCCCAACAGCCAATCACAGCTGAGCTTTCTTTGGTCCGTCTACTCACCGAGTGTGTGCTCCCTGGCAACACTCCAACAGCCAATCACAAATACCCTCTCCAGTCATCCGAATGCTGAGTGGTCCATATTTACTCACCGTCATATCCACCAGCCAATCACAGCAGATATCCCATTGGTCTATAAACACTCATTACATATCCCATCAACGCACCAATTACAACACACCTTTGTCGCTATCCTGACGGTGATTGGCTCCATTCACTCACCGGCAACGCACCAATGGCAGTTCTGGAAATAGATGTTTGTCTGTGAGTGATGGAGAGAGACATTAGGGAGAGATACTGATAACGTCTCCCTTTCTCCCCCCCCCCCGCCCCCGCCCTGTCTCCCTCCCTAATCCCTGCCTTTCCCTCCCTGTGTCTAACTCAATTATCTATTTATATCTAATTAATTCCCCTACTCTCTTATTACCTCCCTTTATCAACTTTTTCTCTCTGTTTATCTTCTTCTTACAGTCTCATCTGCTTTATTGTTTACTCTCTCTCTCTCTTTGATTGTTATTCCTCTCTCTTCTTCTTCCTTGGTGATTCTTCTTTATCCCCCTTCTTTCTCTTCCTCCACTCCTTTATCCTCTTCCCCTCTCTCCTTCACCCTCCCCCCCCTTCTCATTAAAGGCAGACACTGACAAGGATCTTCCCCCTCCTCCACGTCTGCCATACACCACAAACTCCTTCCCTTCCTTCCCTTCCTTTTTTCTACTTCTTTCTTCCTCTCCTCCTTCCCCCTCTCTTCCGTTCCTTCTCTTGTCTCTCCGATTTTCTTCCTTCTATATTTACAAACATCCTTCCCAGTCTCCCTCCTTTCCTTCTTTACTAATGAAGGAATGAAGGAGGGATAGGAAAGGAGAGAGAAAAAAGAAAGGAAGAAAAGAAGAAAGTAAAGGAAGGAAGGAAGGAAGGAAGGAAGGAAGGAAGGAAGGAAGGAAGGAAGGAAGGAAGGAAGGATGGAAGGAAGCGCCTGGTGTAGGTTAGGTGTTGTAGATAATCTTCACCCATTACTAATATCATTAAAAATACGCCTCTCTTCCTTCCTTCCTTCTCTCTTCCTTCCTTCTCTCTTCCTTCCTCTTTTCTTTTCTATTATTTTCCTCCTCCACAACACACATACACCTTACAAGTACAAACATACTCTACACAACAAACAAACACATGCACAAACATACACACACACACATAAACCCCCACAACCACAAACACATACACACACACACATAAACCCCCACAACCACAAACACACACACACATAAACCCCCACAACCACAAACATACACAACCACAAACACACACACACATAAAGCCCCCACAACCACAACCACAAACACACACAACCATTATCGTTGGCTGGTTAAAGAGATCCCTGGAATGGTATGCAGCGCTGCTCTGCCAATGCTCTGGGTGGAAGGGAAGGAAGGTCAAGCCCACACCACACCCGCCACTTACCTACCAGCCCGCAATAGATCCACCCACCTAACGACCACCCAGTAGATCACCTACTCACTACTACCACACCAGCAATACATACCACTATCACCACCATCCTTAATAACCAGCAACAATGCCACCACACACGCAACTACCACCTCTATACCTGTATCTGCTAGCATTGCCACCACCACCACCATGCCGCACCACCACCACCATACCCTCCTCCCCCCCGCCATGCCCTCCCACCCCCGCCACCCACCACCATACCCTCACTCCTCCCAGCCCACCACCACCCCCCCACCACCATGCCCTCCTCCCCCCCACCACCACCATGCCCTCCCACCCCAAAATACACCCCCCACCACCATGCCCTCCTCTCCCACCCCCCACCACCACCCCCACCACCACCACCACCATGCCCTCACTCACCACCACCCCCCACCACTCACCACCACAACACCCCCTGCAACCTTGCCCCCCACCACCCACCACCACACCACCACCCACCACCCCCATTAACACCTGCTGTCAGCCCTGTCAGCTCAAGAGACACCAATAAGAGTCAGTTACACACAACACCTACACAATACACTACCAACACCTGACAGAACACACAAGGGATATACATGAATGAGTTTATATTATCTCTTGTTTGCTTTTGTTTGCTATTGTTTGTTTCCTTGTTTGTTTATATTGTTTATTTTATTTTTGTTTGTTCGTGTTTCTTTGTTTCAGTTTGTTTGATTATTTCTTGTGGCTGGTTTGCCTTTTTTTTCCATTGTTTATTTTTGTTTGTTTACTTAATACTTTGTTTGCTTTTGTTTGTTTGTTTGTTTCATTGTTGCAGTTGAGAGAATTTTAAGAACAGATGATCTTAGAATTAAATAAATGTGCTGGAGAGAGAGAGAGAGAGAGAGAGAGAGGAAAGGAAGGAAGGAAGGAAGGAATGAAACAAGAAATGAAGGAAGTAAGGGCGGAATAAGGGAAGGGAAAATGAGGAAAGAGAAGGAGGGAAAAAGAAGGGAAGGAAGGGAAAGAGGGAGGTAAAATGGGGGAAAAAAGGAGGGAAGGAAGGGAGAAATAAAGGAGGGGAAAAGGAGGAAAGGGAAGGAGGGGAAAAGAAGGGAAGGAAGGGAGGGGAAAAAGGGAGGGAGAGAAGGCCTTGTATATAGTAGTGGGAAGGAAGATGTTGTCGGGGTGTCATTATCAATCACTCGGACAAAAACAGACAGACAAGTACGAACAAGTTAAGAGAGAGAGAGAGAGAGAGAGTAAATAAACTAGTAGTGATTGTCGATGATGAACATTACACAATGGTCTCTCTGTCTTTACTTCCAATATCCACCGTGACAATATCCTGTCTTTCCACACACACACACACACACACACACGCACACACACACACACACACACACACACACACACACAGAAAATATTGACTTTATCACTGCCTCCAAGCAAGAGTCACAGCCAAACAAAAGGTTCTGAGGGCAAAAATGGTGTCAAACAAACAAACAAAACAAACAATGCATTACAAAAGTGTCATTATGACTTGTGAAGAGGAACGTGGGCCTGTGTGACTTTATAACAATGGGGGAATGGAGACAGGGGTGGTGGGGTGGGTGTGTGTGGGGTGGGGTGTGGTGGTGGGCTGGGTGGGTGTGTGGTGGCTGTGGGGTGGGTGGTGGTGGGGTTGTGGGTGGTGTGTGCTTTGTGGTGGTGGAGTTGTGGGCTGTGGTGGTGGGTGCGATTGTGTGGGTTGTGGTGGTGCTGTGGGGTGGTTGTAGGGCAAGTGGTAGTGTGGGTTGTGGGTGGGTGTGCTTTGTGGTAGGAGTTGGGGTTGTGTGTGGGTAAGTGGGATGGTGTGGGTTGTGGTAGTGGGTTGTGGGTGGTTGTGGTGGGCAAGTGGTTTTGGTAGTGGGTTGTGGGTGGTTGTGGTGGGCAAGTGGTAGTGTGTGGGGTGTGGGTGCTAATGATGGGTAGTGGTGGGCGTGTGGGTAGTACAAAACACAAAGAATAAGCGCATGGGCGTATGGGCGTGTGTACGAAAAAAAAATAAAATAAAAATAAACATTATGGGCGTATGAGCGCAAGTAAACCAACTAAAAAAAAAATCCAAAAATCATCGTTCAAAATCAGTGTTTCTCGTTCACTTGTGTTAAAAACTGAACATTTCCTGACACAAAGCCAAAAGTACAAATAACTAGCCCAATTATACAACACGGATACATGTTATATAATTCCCTTTAACTATAATTAATTCACTACGGTATTAAGTATTGCAATGAGTAATTAATCCTATGTTTATTAATGGTAAGGTAAATAATCCAACGTTTATTTAATCCTACCTAATCCAATGTCTAATTAATCTTATACTAATCATCTCTGGTGATTTACTACAGTATTAATGATATATATTTAATTCGATCTCTTATAACTAATTTATTACAGAACATGACACTGCACCATTCAACCAAACCTGTTAATTAATTGTGTAATATTTTTTTACCATAATTAATTACTACAGTAGAGGTACCGTTAGTCATGAACCACTCCTTAATTATCATTAACAAATTTAATTAATTTTTATAACATCCATGGTTGTATTTAATCTCCCCTCGATAACAATTAATTACGAGGGAAAATGAAACAATTAACCAGTCGTCTCGTATCTAATTTACACCTCTATGATCATTAATTACTGAAGGGGAACTAACATTTAACATTCCTCAATAACAGTTAACATAGTCTCCCCTCTATAATTAATTACATCAGCAGGAGAGACTTAACATTTAATTTCCCTCTGCCATAATTAATTACTAGAGAGGGGGATACTGTAACCTTAACCAGTCATTATCCACCATAGATATACCTGTTTTATAGCCCATGATTGATCTAATTTAACCTAACCTAACTTTCTAACCTAAAATAACCTAACCTAATCCAACCTAAGCTAACCTAAACTAGCCTCTCAGGTCAGGTCAGGTGTCAAATTAGGTCAAGTCAAACTAACCAAGGGACCCAATAAGACTAGGATAGACAACCAAATCAGGTCAGGTCAGGTCAGGTCAGAGGGCCCAATTGAACTGAGGACCTAGTTGGACAGGGCTCCATATACCAACTACCATAAACCATACGGGAACTGGTGGAACAATTTACATTATTTAACTTCAGGTGACAATCCTTGACACATAAACACAAATTATTATTCATTTATACATTACTAGATACTGTATTACGGTGGTGGTGAGTTAATAAATAAAATACGCATTATCTTATGGTTTATGTGAGTGAGTGTGTATAATGAAAATATATACACAGTGGAATACATTTACTTATTATTGTACAGTATACGGTGTATTTTAATTCATTTGTTCAATTTCTTATTTTTCTGTTTTATTTTTTGTTGTTATTCATTTTTGTCTCTTTTATTCGTTTTTCATGTTGTTTTTTCATTTTGTTTTATTATCATATTCTGTATTCATGTCTCTTATCTTGTATAATCTCTAATGTATTTGTTTTTTCATTATTCAATTTTTTTTATTTTTTTCTGTTCTCGTTTTATTTTTCATTTATCATAGATTTTTTACTGTCCCTAACCATTGACCTTTTCTCGTGTGTGTGTGTGTGTGTGTGTGTGTGTGTGTGTGTGTACGTCAACAAACCACTACAAATAATTACCTGATATCTTTTTTCACCTGAGGACTAAAAATTAACATCAGACTCACACTAATTAACCTAAATATATCACACTAATCATCAATAAATAAAAAACAAACAGGTAATTAAATATTTTTCACTAAT